TTTCTTCCTGTATATAAAGCTGACTCGAGAAAACGCACAAAGAACTCTGATGTACCTGTACTGTGATGCAAATGTCAATAAAACTCTATTCTGCACTGAAGCAGTGTTTTGATCTGAATGTGAGCTGAAGTCAGTGTGATCACAGACTTACAGACATAATGCTCATGTCTCTGTGATGTGCAGATGTTTGTCATCAACAAGGGTGTTAGAAAAATGGAAATGGTGACCTGATGGTGGCCCCGGATGAAACGTAAGATGTTCACTAAAGTCAGTAGGATCACAAAATGTAATGACTAAAAAACACTCATCATATTTACTGTCAACACCTGCAATATAATTAGGAAACGGTCCACAAACTTACAAATCTTACTTCCTCTGCAGTGACATCGTGGTGGACCTTGTACCCGGTCCCGTTGTCCCGTGGGTCGTGACATTTGCCGGGACCTTTGCCCTGAGTGACGCTGGTGTAATAGCGGACGAATCGTGAGCGGCGGACCAGCAGGTGCAGCAGGAAGCACAGCATTTCCATGCTAATGGAGACCAGGAAGAAGATGAGCGTGTTCTTCTTGTCGTCGGTGATCAGCAGCTTGGTGAAGATGCGAGACAGCGAGATGATCACTCCAGCTGTGCCTGAGAGGTTGGAGTAGAGACAGATGGATGAGGGAAATGTACAAGGATGGTTGTGTGTGTGCACAAATCTTTGTCTTTTCTGAGTGCACTTACTCTCTCCAGTCATCACCCCCTGTGTGTACCTCTTGGGCAGCATCCCCATGTAACCATAGAAACTGGACTGCTGCACTGGGGAGGGAGGAGGAGGAGGAGGAGGAGGCGGTTATCAGCGCAAACAGAGACACACAGCGGAACAACACACTTTATTTAGAGGTGCTATTTCCTGAACTTCACACGCCACTCGAGAGGAGATGCTCTGACCTCCAGACCAACACTAATTAAACTGTTACTACAGCAGCTGAAAGGCTCCCGTGTTCGCACTCGGCAGCACAGACGAAGCGCCGCCGCCGCCGCGTTGGAGTCATTAGCAGCCGAGAAGCGAAGCCTCCACCAGGGCTGTTTGTCCTGACAGATTTTTAGTTAGCATTCATTAGCCATGTGATGAAAGGAATCCTCCGTTTAGCTCTATATTCGCTTCCACGAGTTCTTGAGGGAAATATCTGACTATTTAACTGCTTGTTGCAAGATTAGTGTGTCTGCTGTTTGGAGCTGCACTGATATTAAACAGCAGCTTATTCAAACCATTTCTACTAAAATAACTGAACATGTAACGTTGCTGCTTCATCATCTGTCATGTTTGTCATACAGGCGACATGGACGGCACATCGAGTGACGTGTAGTAATTAATGATGCACGAATAAACAAAAACCTCAATCAAACGGTCTAAATGACTGTCAGCTTAGTTTATTTATGATTCTTGAAACACTAAAAACTCTGTCCATGTGTGATGATAATCTAACAGGAAAATTAAAATAATCCAGTTTGGGTGATGGAGCGAGAACTTTTTTTGAATACTACAAAAGCAGAGAATAATTCAGGTCAAGTAAACCCAGTGCACGGACACCCAGCAGCCTTTACGAATCAAAGGAGCCACAGCAGGTAAGTCTCTTAAGTTGCCTTCACCGCTGTGGTTCAGGTGTTTGAGCAGGTTCTGCACTAATTGCGAGGTTTGGCGGTTCAATCCCCTGCTCCTCCACATGCTGAAGTGCCCTGTGACAGAATCCTGTATTTGGCAAGACAGTGAACTCCAACGTGCTCCCAGCAGCATGCAAGCACCACTGACTAGGAAACAAACCGTCTGAGGAGGTTACTGCTGTAAATGTGTACAACTTTCTCTCTGTGGAGACGTTCACATGGATCCTGATGCTGCAGGAATCCAGTAAACTCAAAGAAAAGACAAACAGCTAGAAGCAACAAACTCCTGTGAACTTTTTGGGTTACGTTAGTTCGTCCTGATGAGGCTTTATGGGTGTAAAATTGTAAATGAGAAAGATGTTGTGAAGCATTTGGATCAATATTGGAGCTGAAACACCTGAAACATCTTCCCTAGATCACTTCACATCACTATATAGGAGTATACTGAGATGTTGTGAGTGTCTCTGACAGCGAGGTGCTCATCCAGACGTGTTCAGATGAGCAACCGTCACATTGATCATTCATCAGGAGAAGCTTTAAAGAGATGATTATTAGTATTACCTGTGCATCCGAAGGCCACCACGCCCACCGACACCAGGTTGATGATGTAAGCCTGCCGGGTGGTGAACTTCTCCAGCCAGACATCAAACACGCTGACGAAGACCAGCGGCCCCAGAGCCAGGACGTATCCTGCAGAGAGAGCGACAGCCGGAGAGGCCGGCGAGGAGACGCCGCTGATCCAGGTTGTGTTGTGACCGCGTGACTCGACACATATTTGACAGGACCAGCGTGAGAAACACTCTCCCAAGTTTATGAAGTCCAGAGAGGAGCTCTCGCACAGACACCACACTTCAAAAGACACATCCTTAAGGATGCGGGCAGAGCTATTTTAAGCTGCAGAGAGCGCTGTGGTGAAACGGTGCTCCTAAGTGCATGATATATGTGTGGAGATATCAAACTCCTCCTCAGGGACATACATTTTTAAAGAGCTTTTTCTTCATATATCGGACAGACTGAAGAGCTGTAATATCTCTGTGTTAATCTGCAATATCACACTTTAGAATAATTTACCCTGCAAGGACGTGTAGGAGCTTTAAAAACCAGCTCGTTAATGAATAATTTGGGCAGCATTTCAATCTCTCCAGCTCAGATTCGAACAAATGTGGCTGAATATTTAGTCGATCTGTTATTTAACCAGCATGGTGAGACTCTGAAGATGTTTGGAAACCTGAAAGCAGCAAGACGAAGGAGAAACACAGCCGGATGCTTGAAAGGCAGCCTCTTGTGAATTTACAGTCTTTGGCAAAGTTTGTTTAAAAAAAACAAACATGAGAACTAGTGCAAAGTTTATTTTCCTCTTTCTCTCAATAACATCTTCCCATTTCTACTGTGTGTGTCTGAGAAGCCTTGAGGTTCCCACAGGGTCGCTGTTAAAGCGACGATGGAAGTTTACTTCCCGTCTCACTTACCCACGGTGATCCTGGTGTGCATGCTGAGCCTCTCCACCAGCACGTTGTTGAGGATGACGGCCAGCAGAGCCACCAGGATGTATGTGAGACTCATGTCGAACACGATGGACGTCCCTGAAAGACACACAGGAAGCTTCTGAGCACGGAGTCGCCTGCATGTGTTCGGGCTCATCCGGACTCGTGCATATTCATACCTTTGAACTTGTGGTGCAGGTAGTCCACTTCAGTGATGAAGCTGTTGTAGGGAAGCAGGAAACCCACTCCGGCCATTAGCATTGCAAAGTAGATGCCATGGTAACGGTCGTCGGGGATTGGTTCCTCAAAGTCTGAGCGGGATGGAGGGAGTCAAGGGTCAGAGAATTAAAGCAGTATGGGATGGGAGGCAGACAGCAGGGATTACAGGTGACTTTCAAACATCTAAATTAGCACCAAAGTGGAGCCGGTGAAGCTAATCAGGATGGACGAGGCGGCGGCGGCACCGACGGAGCAGCTGACGTGGTGGAAGCCTCGGTGAGAGATTGATCGGAGGAACTGCAGATCGTGCACTGGCTGTCCGAGCAGTTTCAGCTGGAGGCTGTTGTGTTTTGCAGCCGATTGGGTTTCACAGACAGAACGTGTGATGAGCAGTTTCTTTATATAACACTTTATAATCCTTTCCTAATCCTGTAAGCCTACTATTAACAGCTCCAAATGGATTCTGAGCATTTAGATTTTACAGCAAACTGAAGGAAATAAACACCTCTCGCTGCTGCGTCTCACCGTGTCACTACTCCATCACCATGGTAACAGTGATGATAAAGATATGATTCATCTGGTGATGATGATAACCTGCACTTACCTTCACTAACGCACTATATTGTGTTTTACTTTTTCTATATATGCAACGCAGCACGTGGAGGGTTTACATTTCTGCAGCTGTGTTATTTTCAGAGTAAATAAAAACACCTTAACACACAAACACAGAACCACGAAGCATCTCAGGTTGTCAGCATTTGTTCAGAATTAAACTAACTGTGTAGTCAGCAGTGAGCCGTGGTCATCATCACTGCACGGACAGAAGGAAGGATCGCAGCCACCTCGTTAGCAGAAAGTCTGACTGAGACGCTCGGCTAAATATGTAACGGACGTTTTAGTGTGGAAGTGTTGGTGGGTGCGTTCAGGGACTGTTTGTCTGGGCGGTGTGTAGTGAGTAAGTCCTGGTGTGCATGTTCAGTCTCTCTGCAGGGTTAACAGTGTTTCTTCTTACAAAGCAGCACTCTTTGTGCCAAAGTAGCCGAAACTGTTTGCACCAGATTCGGGCAAAAGCTCAGAGAGTTTCCAGGTGAAATGCAGGCTGTGTTTTTTTTCCCAAACAACAAGGAGGAGATAACGAGAGGAAAATAAAACACACTGGATTAAAAGAATAAATGCAGCATGGCTCAGGAGCAGCACACAGAGGAGCCAGCTGTCAGCCGGTAGTTTTAAGATACATTCTGCACGGGGAAATATCTGCAGCTGATATCGAAAAAGCCCTTTGTAGAGATAGTAAAAATGTAAAAATATCCATAGCATGTGAAACCATTATTTGTTTCCCCAGCAGTGGTAAAACCTGTAAGTACTTGTTAAACACAGTGATTACAGTTTTTTTTCACCCATTTTAATCTAAATTAAATAATAAAAGAAATCCAGGTTTTCCCTTTTATACGACTAACGGGATTGTAATTGTGAGAGATTCTCCAGTTCTCTCTACTCCTAGCTGTGGTTCTGTGGTTCCATTAATGTGCAGGATTTTATGTTGTGGTGAAAAATGAGCCCACAGTCAGTAAAAACGTCGTCTCACGTAACCCATCCTGCAGCTCGTAGTGGTCCGGCTGCAGCACGCGATCATTCTGCTGTCGGGGAGGAACGCTTCGGCTAGTCTGTTATTCTTCAAACCAATCACGAGCAGAGCTGAGCTACGGATGCAGCTCTGGTGTTCACTCATGACATTTTAAAGTGAATATAAATTTGCACGCTGGGAGATGAGCGCTGTGGTTAAAATGGATCATCCAGATCCACAGCAAAACCTTCAGTTTCATTTCCTATGTGGGAGGCTGCTGGTGTTGCCTCCCAAAGCGAAGACGACAGTAAGACACAGATCGTGGAAGAGAAGGAGAAGGCCGACTGAAGCCATCAGCTGACGGCCACCTACATCATCAGACCAGTAAACGTGTGACAGATGAAAACTGGTCAGAAGCTGCTTGGAGTCCACAGGCCTACCTCATGTAGGGCCGTAAATAAAACCCGGTGCAGGTGAAAGGTGAGCATTAGCATTAGCATGAAATATACATTTTGAATGAGGAAAAAATAAACAACAAACAAGCCTCGAATGATGCACAGTCCCTCAGTAGAACCACATTGCAGGTTCAGGACTGTAACGACGAACTGAGCTTAATTCAGGCTTTGAGGCAGCTTCTCCGTCTCTGTGGACATCCTCTGTTCTGTTGACTGTACACGAAGGTGTGAACACCGATAGCTACAGGAAGACAGGAGGCCACGAGATAGAAACATAAGTAAGGAGGAGAGACAAGAAGAGGAGAAAGGGCCCTCGCTGTGCGTCCTTGGTCACTCCTGATCTGATTAACTCGGCCTTTGTGCAACCTGTGTAACCAGGCAACACGGCAATTTTCTGTTAACAGGTCGCCTCCTGTGTTTTACGTACACTTCCATCTCTCTCTCTTCCTGCCAATGCTTTCATTCTCTCCACCATCATCCGTAAACATTCACATGTTCATACAAAACGTACAAAATACTAAACAAACCGTCACTGTGGCTTATTGTGGAGCACAACTTCTAATTCTTCTCATTTTTACTGCAAAGGAAATATAATCTACACGAACACAGACAGACCTGGTGCACCACGAGGACTCAGCAGCTGTCAATAGAGTTGCTATTTATTAATATCAATGAAACGTTTCGTCTCTTTACAGTATTTGAGTAGCCAGTGCAGCCAGTAAGCTTCTCCTCTGATCCGTCGTGTTATTTGAACACCTGCTGAGTTGTTCTTTCGGTTTCATCACACGCAACACAAAGCAGTTGTTTACTCAGTGTTATCTACGTCCTCTTCATGGTCCTAGCTGTGATGATGGAAAGATGATTGGGAAAAGGTCAAGCTCACGCTACACGTCCTGTAAGCTGCAACGAGTCTCATTTGTTTTCTGTCTGTTCGTTTCAGCTGGAAAAGGCATTGCTACGTCTTGTCTGGACTATTCTGACTCCTTATTATCATAAAATCCTCCAGCTGATCCAAAACGCTGCAGCCAGGAACCAGTAAGAGAGAGAACATATTCCCCCAAAGCTTTCCATTTCCTAGCTCCATTGAATCCTAACAACCCTGTTATACCATATTATCCTAACAAAGCACTCCCCTCTTGGAGCCTTCAACTATCAGCTCCTCTGCTGTGGAACCAGGAGGCGGACATCCTCTCTACTGTTCTCAGTAGGCTGAAAACTTTTTCATAGAGGTTACAGTTCTGGCTGCTCAGGTGACCCCGAACCCTCCAATGATGCACTGAGCCCTCTGCCTCTGTTCTCCTAAATGCATGTCGATAACTTCATGTCCTTCTGTCTCTGGTAGTTACTGTTTGCGTTCTCTCCCTTTTGTTCCTGCAGGAGGTTTCTCTCTATATTACAACACTGTAAGATTACTACCAGGTGTGTCAGAAAAGTTCCAGGACTGGTGTCACTAAAGATAGATTACAAATCCAAACCAGGAGTTTCCCCTTCAGACGACCAACCAGCTCGTCTACAGAGGTCCTGCAGCGTTTGCTTCGTCCAGAAGAGGCAGAGTTGTGTCAGGACCAGTGGAGGCTGCGTCACCATGACAACCTGCTCACAGCGCCCTGAGCATCCCACAGCTCCTGGCTGAGAAGAACATCTCCTCCCTGCTCACCCCACCTGGCTCTGTGGGGTTGGTTCCTCTCCCCCAAGCTCAAGGGCTCATCAAGGAGACCCGTTTAGAAGACGTGGACAACATCAAGATGGCTGAGAGCTGAGAGGATCCTGAAGAATCCTGAAAGTGGGTTACACTCCAGGGGGATTACTAGGAAGGGGAAAACTGGTAGTTTGTAGTTTGGATTTGAAATGTATGTTTTGTGGCACCAGTCCTGGAACTTTTCTGACACACCTCGTATGTGGTGAGGTGCCGTGAGATGACTGATGTTGTGAACCGAAGCCATATAAATAAAACTGAACCAAACTATTAGATAAAAGAGAGATATACTTCAAAATATATGCAAATGCAGGCCTTTTTTAAAAGAATGAAACTATAACGGTGGTGAAGGTGTTGCGTTCCTGTAGTGCCTCCACCTCCCTCCAAAACATGGAGTCATTTGCATTTAACAAGTTGAGCAAAATAACCCAGAAATGCAGAACCTGGTCGCACATCAAGACCCCAGCAGTGAGACTGGATGTTTTCACACATGCTCGTGATATTCTGTTCACATCCTGGATTCAAACAGATGGACTATGAAGTGCTTCAAAACACATATTGTGAGACACGTTTGTTAAAATAATGGGAAAAAGTGCATTTTATATTCACCATAAACTGGTGATAACGTTTAACATCCGCTTCAGGGCATCGGAACACTTTGTTTTTCTGGGGTTTTGAAGTGGAGGGGATTATTACACACACACACACACACACACACACACACACACACACACACACACAGATAGAACAGAAAGTCGCTCACCGGGCTCGGACAAAGCCAGCACTCCTCGCTCTGGGGCGTCCTTACTGATCTCCTCCTCCTCCAGCTGGTACGAGTCGAAGCTGTAGCTCTGCACCACGCCGCTCTCCCTTCCCTCCCTCCAGCCCTCCCTCCCCGCATCCCTCCAGCCAGCCCGTCCTCCATCCCTCCACACGTCCCTCTCCTCGGGCGTCTGGGCCGGCGTGGGCCTGCGACGCTCTGCGCCCACCAAGCTCATTTTGGCACTCGGAGTATGCAGGCAAACAAACACCAACAGCGCAAGGTCCTCTCGACTAGACAAGCTCTACACACTCTGGGGGGCGTGCATGTTAAAACACAATCCCAGCAAACGAAAAGGTGCAGGAGACCTTCAGATGATGGAGGATCTGCAGGGGGAAGCGACAGGAGACGGAATTAAAATGTTAAAGAAAAGCCAGAGGTGGAATAAAAAAATCTAGCTGCCAGTGCTTCACTGAAAATAACTAGTCAAGGTTAGACAACCCCCATAAAAACATAATCTGCTGCATGTGTTTGTGTATATTAAATGAGAGAAACACCGAGGATGCATGACTGAGGTACAGAAAATGTAAGTGAAAAATCAGCTGTGCATCCATTAAATCTGATATATGCTGCAGAAACGTAGAAAAGAAGAGAAAATCTATCATCGACTGACAGAAAATTCATCAACATTGAGTCTTAAGTACTGGTTAAAGTCATTTATTAAACAGAAATACTAAATATTTACCGGCTGCAGCTTTTCAAGTATGAGGATTTCCTGTTTATATGCAAGTTTTGTTTCTTGTAAACTCAATAAAATGAGCTGAATGAACTCTCAGAGACTCAACTCATCATTCTGAGTCAAAGCTGTAATGTAAATAAAAGTTAAGACATTTTAAGTTCAACTGAGCCAAACGTTTAGTGAACCAGAGCAGATGGGTGGATGTGGGTTCCTCACAGTGCAGAAAAGCACAAACTGCTGTTTTATTTATCACATCATCATTTAAACTAACCCTTTGGTCCATAAAACATCACGATTCCCTAATGACCGACTCGTCCCTGATGGAGGGTTTTTAATCAGAACACGTTGGTGTCAGACGCGTTAAAAGCTTTTTTAGAATCTCACATCGAGACTCTGCTGCTGCTGTGTTGCCTTTTTGGCCTGATCAGCATCTCCAACCCCAAAGATGCTCAATTTACAGCGACATCCATGAATCACCTCAGCAGCAGGCCAAACGTGGCTCTCTGACATGTTTCCCTTCAGCCAACCAGCAGCTGTGGAGTCAGTCTAACAAGCCGGATCAATATAAATGGATATTCTGTATGCAAACAAACACAAAAAACACCAACATCCTCTATCGTGCACACTTGAGTGGATGCACAAACACTGGAGGACCTGCAGAGAGCTCCAGACCAACACCTGGCCCGCGGCCCTGCAGCCTGCCTCTCACCTCTCCTGGCCTGCAGCTGTGATTTCACTCCTGGCCTGTAAGGTGAAGCTGCTGAGGGCCTTTGTTTTTAGGATCCTATTTTAAACCCAGGCTGTCTGGAAAGCAGCAGATGATGTAAGAAGGTTTCTCATCTCTGTAACATCCTGTGGCTGCAGACAAACAGGTGACTGGATGGAGACAGAAAGCAGTGAATCAACGCTGCTCACTGAGTGACCCAAAGCTTTTCTCAGTCTCTCATAACGGCGGCTGCTCTGTGGCGTCTCGGAACCGCGTTCTGCACCGTTTCCACGTCCAGACTTGAGGCGGCGCTCGCAGCCCTCCTCGGTTAAATTAGCAGGGCTGCTGCCAGCGACCATAATTGAATTGCAGCCTGATATCATGCTGCAGTTTGTCCGCTTTAAATAAGCAAAAGCCCCGTTTCACATCGGCAGCAGACTGCACGGCTGGAAAATGAACCTTTGCTTCATAGATGCGGTCACTCCAACCCGTGTGAACTGGAGGGTTTCTCCCGTAAGACGCGTGCGTAATTTTAAAATTGCTATTAATCATAAGAAGAAAAAAAAACAAAAACAGGAGCGTGGAGCGACACACACATGATCATCTCGGTTCTTTTTAAAAAAAAATTTTTTAAATCATCAAGTCCAACCAGCTCTACATGTCGCTCTTATGCAGCTGCTTGTATTTTTTTCTGCGGCCGCCGCGTTTAGACGGAAAACACAACAGTAACAACAGGTTATATTAACGGCCCCTTTACCTCCAGTGTCTCCCCTCTCCTTCTCTCTCGCTTTCTTTCTCTCTTCCTACAGCAGCAGAAGCCAAGTCCGTCCTGCAGAATCCTCCGAGCCGGCCGGATCCGGTGCCTTTTTCTCAGCCCGTTTCCATCAGACAGAAGGGAAGCCCCGGTGCCGTCCTGCGTGCGCTCCGAACGCACCGTCCAGCAGCGGAGAAGAAAAGGGAGTGCGCATGGATGAATGAGGAGAACGGTGGAGGGGAGGGAGGAGAGGAGAGGAGAGGAGAGGGAGGCAGGGAGGGGGACGTGTTGCCTCTGGCTGCTCATCTTTTGCAATCGGTCCCTGTTTTAAAAAAGCACAGAGAGCGCATGCATGTGGAACAACTTTTTCTTCGGTACAGTTTTCACTCCGTTTCCTGCAGAAAAATATTAAGAGTGGATTTTTTTTTGTTCTCAGCTGCAGAAAGATTATCAAATGAGATATGTACATTTCATTACCAGTAAGGGAAAATAGCACAATACATTCAATTTGCAGTGGTTAAAGTAAAATCAATCATTTCCATCCTCCATCGATCCACAGACATCTTCCTTTATCCTAGAGTGTATTAAAGGTAGTCAGGCAGGAATGATAGAAAATGACATCAAACAGTCATTTTAAGCAAAGATTAGTTTCATAGGTTCACACACAGACATGAGGAGTGGTGCACATGTCACCAGTCAGCAGCAGCTACAACATGAGCAGAAAGCAAAACAGGATAAAGACTTGTAAAATAAATAAAATAGATATAAAATGCAAACAGGATCAAACATAGAAGGTCAAATGAGAAATAAATAATAAACAATAGAGCATCATGACCACTTCCAGAAGCCACTGGTTTCTGGAGGTGGTCTCAGGATCTTGAGATTTCTCTTAAAACTGCCAATTTAGGAGAAACATCTGACTGAAGGAGGAAGGCTGTTGCACATCTCCGGAGCTGCCGCTGACTGATTTCCCTCCATCATGGAAGAGCAGACGTTGTGAGGATCTCAGAGGCCTGGAGGTAGAGCAGGAGCAGAGGAGCTGCCAACCCAGCCATGTCCTTATGATAGAAGTCAGATTTTTTTTATTTTGGCTCCTCTATCGATGCTTCCATTTTTACATTTTTCATTTTATTTTTTGCTTTATTTCCATGATGTGTGAACCACATGTGTGTTGCTAAAGCACATAAATGAGACTACCAGCGATAGGGGAGGGAACAGAAGCACAAGAGAAGAAAAGGAAAAAGATGTTTTGTGAAGTGTACACACAAACACAAAGCTGGCAGGCTCCTGTGACTGACAGTTTTATCAGTTCAGCTCAATATGCTAATGCTTTATTATTGGCAGGGCCTCCGTCATATTGCACACCCCCACTGCTGCCAGGGAGAAGCCAGACGTGAATCAGTTAATGATATAGCTGTCTTGTTAGGAGTCCTGTCAGTACAGCACAACAGACCCACGAGCTGCTGCTGCTGCTGCACTGCAGGCTGTCAGCTCATGTGTTTGAATCCCATCCCAAGATGCAGCTGAATGCTTTGAATACCTGCATGAATCACCTGTAATCTTGGCTCAGCACCACATTAAAGATCAAGTGATGTGGCAGCAGGTTCATCCAATCAGAATAATGCATTTGTTCTTTGCTAAGTTTTTATTAATGGCTGCATTGACAAATGCTGAATCATGTGCAGACAGCGTTCCCTTTGATATCCTGGGTTTCTATTTTGGATTTTGTCCTGGTACATACTGTGCAGTCCACAGCTAACTCATTCAGGGAGGATACGCAGGATGACAGTTCATTTTTAAAGGCATATTTTATTTGCTCACAGCAGTGGAGCCAAACTATGTTACAGGGACGACCAGGCTGAAGCGATTGTATCAGGGTGGTGCAACGTCTCGTTAAGTTTTTGTTTTCAGCAAATCACTCTCAGCCAAATAATCATTTATGGTTGTTCACTCACTCCAGTGATTTGTTTGTGCAGACAGGACTGCCGTGATTCTTGGCCATGCTTTGGCTGCAGGTTCTGGATCAGTCCGACATTGCTCAGCACTTGTTTCCTCTTCAAATTAGGTTTCATGCCTCCAGTCTTTCACCTATAAAGCCAAACAGACCGTTTATTCACACCAGGAGATGGTGTGTCTGAGGTGTAGTCCTGCTCCTGAACCCTTAACCTGAGCTTCAGACTTCCTGTATGAACCAAAACTACCAAAGTCCTGCTGACTAGTCAAAATCAGAGCCGTGCTGCAACTTCAGCATGAAAAGTATTTTTAAAAAATACCTAAAATCATAACCGCAAGAGATTAGAAATAGCATTACAAATAACAGGAAGACTGAGCTTTGTTTCGTATTTCTATCTATTCAACTTTTGGGTTCTGTTCATATCAACACTCACCACAACCAACTGTTCCTACCATCTCTATGTAGATGACACACTTCTGTTTCCTTTTCTAATCCTGCACAGCCGTTTAAATGATGAGCAAGATACAAACTGCAAAGATGCACTTTTTTAAATTCAAACTGTCCTCAATGTGATCAACTCTCTCTGGAAAGGCAGAGGAACCACGGAGGATAGTTCACACGTCGCCGCTCTGACCGGCCAGAGAAATGAGACGGTCGCTGAGAGTTAACATTTGTTTATTTATCTTTTCGGATCAAAAACTCACATTTTAAATTTCATGTTGACACATTTCTCTGCCAGCTGTGAAGGAGAGTTAGCCCACATCTAGCACAAAGCCAGTAGCTGAAGCCGTCTTCCTGTTTGTCTCAGATTATGGAGGTGACGTCTACAGACAGGGCTGCAGGTG